ATAGAAGGCGTCTGACGCGTGGCTCTGGCTTCTGATTGGTCAATAAAGCCTGTTCAGTTGTACCAGTCTTTTACCTATTTGGGCTCGGGTATTCTACAGTGGCGTCGGATATGGGCGCAGACATGTTGGACCACCTGGCCTCAGCCAATCCCGTGTCTCTCTGCGATCCAATGGCATGCGAGGAAGATAAGCGGCCAACCAAAGAAGTACACGACTGAGGAGCAGTGTATAAAGAGCGGCGTGGCCAGCGTGGCGGACTCGGATGGAAGACGCCTGACGTGTGGTTCTGGCTTGTGATTGGTCAAAACAAACAAGAAAAAGAAATATAAACTTTGTGCTTCGCTCGGCTTTCTCGAAAATTGTGCGCTTTTCATTTTTCCGATGCTGTCAAGCGCATTTTTTTTGAAATACGTTTTCTTTTATTTTCTAAGTTATTGTAGAATACTGGAAGTTTATAAGACCGAAATTTAATCTATGTCAAATACATTTTGAATTTAAAATAAAGAGGAGAAACCAAGCCTAATACTAGGTTTTATAAAATGGTTGTAGTAAAAATATTCGACACCAGTGTTACTGCTAGGTTTACTATTTCAAGTAATGGATTCAAATTCGAACTTCACACAAATGCCACGTTCTTGTGTGTAAGCTTAAAATGCACTTTAATTAATATTTCCTTTTTAGGGGTTTAATCACAGACTCCAAGAATTAATACCTCAGTCTACTCATTCACACCGAATCGTGACATGTACCAAGCACTTTAGAGCATTTTCTAATTTAAAATAAAAATAAATTAGTTTTGAACCAGGTCCTTGTTATAAATGTAAAAAAAGTCATTCGCTTTTTAATACTAAGTTCGTTGATTCGACACTCCAGAGACACGTTGAACGTGCTGACATATTACGCTCTTTTAGTTGTAATAATTTGACATTGCAATTGTAATGTTTTCGAGTTATTGTGCCATACTCTAAAACCTGATTAAAACTGCCGCTTGGAGTATCGCAAATTAGTATGGTCACTCACCTGGCATTAAGTGATTTTGTTGGGCATATATGAACACATCGTAAGATTGTTATCAAACTGTATACGTTCACGTTTTAACGAACACCAGCAACAGCCAATAGATAAAAGTTTACCGAATTCTGGTAAGTTAGTCCCCTGGATGTTTGCTCAATTAATTAAGAAATTAAATATAATGTTTGCGGTTGGCCTAGTTAGAGTGAATAGCAACATTTCAATTTCCAGTTAGTGAAGACGTTGGTAGATTTATAGGAAATGAAATTTTAATCGCATTATTTCACAATAGCAAATTTGGTACAAGAATAACGTTAGTTTGTTGCATGTCCATATATTTGCTGTACACGTATACCATTTAATATTACTTTTTTGCCCACTTTTTGTGGCAATATTTTGCACTTTGGTATAACAATTAGTCATTCTCGAAACTTCGAATTTACTTTCACTCTTCACGTGCCTGGCGTGTCATACCGTGATACGGCATCAAGTTTGAAGTAAGCGTCACTGTTATCTACGGTACCGTACAGGCGTTTGTACGAACCATCGCGGAATACGTGTTAATCTTTCTATTTTTTATCCCAATTTGCTTTCTTTCATTGAGATATAAACATTTTCAGGTTGCTTGAAGTGGTTTTAGAAACAGTACCTCACACTTAACTTCAATCAAAATACTCAGTTCCAGAGGCAAAAATGAACGAAACTACCATACCACGTTTTACACAATATGTTTTCTTCTTTTTCCGCCACCATGTGATAGGTACGCATTATAGTGGATGCGTAGTTTTGTGGAGGTGCGATTATTATCTTAAGTTTAAATGTGGCGATAGTAAATTCTATCTAGTTAGGAACAATATTAGCCACGCATTGAAGATGTTGGCTCGTCCATTTGCTTAACCAATGGTAGTTCTCGGGTTAAATAGAGTGTGTGTTTAGATCTCGTCTAAAAACGGTTTTTCGATTTTTTTAGAATTGCAAATTTCTTTACCTTATCACGGAAGTGGCTTTGCTCATAACTGTAACTTTGCTAGGAAATTGACGTAGTTAATGTATTTACCTCAATTATTGCTCGGGATTATACACGCCAGAACTGTAGGTTGACTGCCTGACCAACGAACTGGTACATACTCCGGACTAAGCAGTTTGCTTAAGAATATTTTTTTTTACAGATAATGAAAATTTACTAATTTTAAATAAACTCTAAAACTAAATATGATAAGACTGATTGAAATGTATGCTACAAAATTTTCTGTGTCCTCACCGATATTTTAAGCTGATCCGTCGCATATTAGTACTGTAATATGTAATTCTGTAAACAAATGGCCATCCAAAAACAAGATTTGTCAAAATATGTGGGAAAGTAGAAGTATAAGCGACATCTGTTCCAGGTTAACTCGGTTTTGTAAAAGTCCTTCATTCACATTAAAGTTCAAAAAATAAAAAAATAGAACCTACAATAGAGGTAGTACTCTACTAAAAGCCTACCTTATCCTTGCAGGCTAACTGCACTGAAACTCAAGACAATTCAAGTCATCCAAATGGTACTCTCCGGTTACAAATTGCCTACTTGACCATGGCATAAAGGAATACTTACTTGCTTAAATCAGGTACGAAAAAATTACAACAATCGCGGGTGGATCTGTTTATTTACGCAATAGGACTGGATTTCGATTGCTTAAATTCATTCGCCCCTTTTATATAGGGAATTTTATTTCGGTTCATATTCCAAACACTGAAAGTAAGAAAATGTTTATGTGAGACAATTTTTTGCCATAACAGCCTAGTTTAGAAATTTAAATTGATGTTAAAACTTTAACCGAGGTATATTTTTTTATAATACCTGTGGAACTAAGTTAT